ATTTTTTATTTTAATGTAAGCAGAATTCATTGGCGAATATTGGATTGTCGGGAAACTTTCCTGACAACCAGCAGTTCTGTTTTTTCTTTTTGAATAATAAGAATTAAACGTTTTATGAAGTTTCCCTGGTGTCACCAATGCTAGAAAGTGCAAAGGAAAATGCAATGCTCAATTACAGCATCCTCCTTTTTCTCCTAGGCCTCATTTTCTGTCTTAATTGTACTAGATAGACAAACTTTACTAAATACTGTCTTGAGTCCATTTTGCTAAACAGGCAATATTTGGTAAAATGGTATTTTCCAATATATCATAAAGCAAGGCTGAAGAATGAAAGCTAATATAACATCTACATGCAAATGACATATTTTTTTTTTGGAGAAGTTTTTGCTATAGGGCACGTGCACTCGCCAGAAAGATAGAAAGAGACAGAAAGATAGAAAGCGAGAAATCACCCCCTGGGGGGATGGCCACGCCGCAATCCCTTCTCCTACATTCTCCTCTCAGGATCTTGGGCACACACGCACACGTGCCCAGCATGAGTTTAAGCCACCGGGTCTGGGACCCGAACCGTGGTTGACTACATGGGAGTTCAACGACATAGCCATTACGCTAACTGCTGGTCCCCAAATGACATATTTCTTTGTGCAGAACAATTTCATTACATCTTCCAGACCCTAAATACAGCATCAGATCTTCTAGTAGTCTGCACAACTAGACCTCAGGACATGCTGCTCTGCTTAATCATTTAAAACTCTATGAACGAAATGACCTCACTTCTTTGGGATAAATGTCTAGTTGAAATTAGTTCCTACCTATACACAGAAAGTACTCACTACAAAATATGACATGAATTACTTTTAATTATTTAATTATCATTATAGAGAGCCAATAGCTTCCAGTATTATAAACATCTTCCCCACAACCAGAGGCAAAGTGTCCCAATAAGACAGCATCAGATGTGTAATGTCACAGTGCCTCGCTCAGAGCTGGACACCCATGACTTGGAGAGGAATGGAGCTCCCTCTGTCAGCTCTACAGATTCCATGTACTGAGGGAACACCAGGTTGAATGAAAGACTGAGAAACAAAGACAATGGTACATAGAATCAGAGTGGAAAATGGGGGTATAAAAAGGCACATGGGAGGGAGGAGGCAGCAGGTGGCATAGTCATTAAGGCACTGGACTCTGGCATGGCTGATCACAGTTCAAGAGCTGGACCTGGTGGTTTGAAAATCATGTGTGTGCATGCCCAGAATCCTGAGAGAATGGAGGAGAAAGGACTTTGGCCTGGCCATCCTCCCGGATGGGGGGTGATTTCTCAATTTGTTTCTCTCTGTCTCTCTCTAGCAAGCACACACGCTGTATGACAAAAACCTAAAAGTCACATAGGAAAGAGCAAGAAAAGATGTGGGGGGCTGGCCTGGCAGTGCAGTGCACTGTGATATGGAACTGGATTCCATATGACCTACTGCAGTCTGAATCCTGGCCCTGAGGCCCCAGAAGCACACTGGGCATGTGTGTATGCTTGCTCCAATGAAGGGATGGAGAAGGGGGAAAAAGACTGTGGCATTGACTACGCCTCCTTGGTAGGGTGCTTTCTCTCTCTGGTGAGTGCATACTCTCTAGCAACAGAGAGAGAGATATAGGGAAGAAGACTGGTGTTTGAGAGAGAAATAAAAACGAACCAGGAATGAGAAAGGAGAGAGGGAAGTAAAGGGAAGATTAGGGAAGACACGTTTGAGCTGGGTCAGAGGGCGGGCAATGAGATTTCCTCTGGAAGAAAAAGCATTTTTCCGTTGGATGATGACAACACTTCTGGCATACACAAGGAGACAACTCATGAGAGTCCTTAGTTACGAACATCTTTATAGCAACCCGTTCTGTTCGGCATGCTGGCCTCTTCCGGCTGTACCTGGCAGTGGCAGGCCCTCCTCTCTGCCTTTGCTCTTGTCCTCCTTTCCCGTGGCCTGCTGCTGGGCGGCCAGGGCAGTGAGCTGGGCTGACTGCTTAATCAGGGAGACACGGTAGAAGTAGTTCCTCCAAAATACTTCTTCCTTCACGCTATTAAAGACAGACAATAACACATTGGAGAATGCGTGTGCTCAAGGGCATGCAGGGGTTATTTGTTGTAGAGGAGACTGGAATGGATAACTTTGTGGGGTACTTTCAAGTCCAAGTGAGTTTCAATGGAGAGTCCCATTTGCTTTAGAATTGAAAGCTGAACAACGGGATGAATAGAACAGCCCTCTTCTCCCTGGCAGCAAAGGAAAGTGACAGAATGCCAAATGAAACCTCAGTATTTCTAGCTATATTAATAGTACCAACGCTGCCCTCTGTGAAAATGGCACTATCATCTGCAAGACTAGAGGCAGAGGCAGGATGGCACCTACCAGTCGACAGTCAGTCACTACCCTACCGCCTTGTGGAGGACTACATCCTTTCAAACAGTGAGAAGAAAGCACAGCAGGTGTTCCTGAGAAAGGACTGTTGGGCAGCTTGCTAACGACCAGCAACCACAAAGAGCTGGAAATGAGGAGGGAGAAGGTGGAGAAAGACTGAAGAACAGTTCGGGTGACAAGTGTCTGTGGTACTCAAACTCAGTCAGCTATTAGTTAATCACTTGGTATGTAGTGCCTGAGTGGGGCCCACATGGGGCGGGGGCAGGGGCACCTTGGAATAGAGAGTAAGGACTAAACAGGGGAAGAAGGGTATTGAAACAGGGAAGGGAGTGGCAGCAAAATAGGAGATTGGGTCAGCCTCAGTGCTGCAGTGGGTAGTGTACCGAATTGTGGGACTGGAAGACACATGCTGATGGTGGGTTTGGTTTCCTAAATTGGCCTGAAAGCATACCAGGGTTGAATATATACTCAAGATCCTGCAAGTGGGAAGGCTCGCAAGTGGAAGGGGACTACAGCATGAGGAGGCGCTGTTGAGGGCCTGTCTCTTTCATGTGCATGCTCTCTCTCTCTCATAAATAAAATTAACTTTAAAAAAAATGGGCAGGAGGAATTAGTGGCATGGTGGTTAATGTGGCTAGATCGCACACAGCTGACTGTGCAGTTTGAGTCCCGAATCCAGTGGCTTGAAAACACACACAGTGTGTGTACATGCCCAAACTCCTGAAAGGAGGGAGAAATGGAGAAGAGATTGTGGCATGACCCTTTCCCACAGCAGGGTGCTTTCTGGCGCCCCTTCCACCACCACCTTCCCCCAAGTCCTGGTTTGGGAAGTGCACACACCCTCTGGCAAATTAAAAAAATGGGAGTCTAGTTAGATGACGGGCATTGATCAAAAAAAATAAAAATATTGAGAACAGTGGAAACTAGTTTTCTCACTGTCTGAGAAGGGAATTGTAAACATGGAAAGAGAAAAAATGAGTGATCCCTGTGTGAGGCGTCACTGTGAACACGTGGTTTTCATTCTGTGTAGACACAAATAAGCTAACACATTCTCTAGCTCTGACCACTGAGAAGGTGGAGACTGGTGACGCCTCACTAGCAATGAGAGCACCTGGAGTGCAGAGCTTGCTTTCTAAATGCAATATCCGTATTCTGAAAATCCAAAATGCTCAAAAGTCTGAAACTTTTCGAGCACCTACATGACATCACATGTGGAAAATTCCACACCTGACCTCATGTGATAGGTCACAGTCAAAATGCTACAATACAGAAGTATTTTATAAGATTACTTTAAGGCTGGGGCCAGCAGGTGGCATAGTGATTAAGGCCTTGGACTCCCACATGGCTAACCATGGTTCGAGTCCTGGATCTGGTGGCTTGCTTTCTCACTCCCCTCCCCCCGGGTCAAAGTAAAAAAGAAAAAAAACATTAAATAATTCTGGAAAAAAAAAAACCAAAAGATTACTTTCAGGCTATGTGTAGAAGGTCTATGTGAAACAAGTGAATTTTGTCCCCAAAGTGTCTCAAAGTACAGGCAAATATCTCCAAATCCAAAAGAATCCAAAATGTGAAATACTTCTGATCTCAAACATTTCACATAAGGGATGTGCAACCTGCACCATGTTCTGCTAAAAGGAACCAGAGCTTCTTGGATAAGTGGCTGATCCTAGGGTTAAAGCAAGGAAAGAACAAGATAAAACTGGACTATCTTGTGCCAAAAAGCAAAGAAGTACTCAAAGAATGATGGGGATGAGTTAAAAGGACATGGGAGTCAGCCCAAACTGGCGATAATTTGGGCATCAAAATAAATATACTGGGACCAGCAACCAGTAGATGGCATAATGGTTCCATCGCTGGACTGCCACATAGTCAACAGCAGTTTGAGTCCCGTATCCGGCTGCTTAAAACTCATACCGTGTATGTGTGTGTGTGCATGCCCAAGATCCCGAGAAGAGAATGGAGAAGGGATTGTGGCATGGCCATGGAGATAATTTGGGCATCAAAATAAATATACTGGGACCAGCAACCAGTAGATGGCATAATGGTTCCATCGCTGGACTGCCACATAGTCAACAGCAGTTTGAGTCCCGTATCCGGCTGCTTAAAACTCATACCGTGTATGTGTGTGTGTGCATGCCCAAGATCCCGAGAAGAGAATGGAGAAGGGATTGTGGCATGGCCATGCCCCCCAGGGGGTAATTTCTCACTTTCTGTTTCTCAGTCTCTGTCTCTCCAGAGAGTACACTCACCCTGTTGCAAAACTCTCTCTCTCTAAAAAAAAAGATACACTAACAACAGATTAGAACCCTTTGCACAGAACAGGACCACTAGGAGCTAGCCAGTGGTGAGGTGGTTCAGGTGGCTAGATCCCACATGGCCGTCTGTGTGGTTTGAATCCCAGACCTGGAGGCTTGAAAATCATGCCAGGTACGTGTACGTGCATGCCCACAACGCTGAGAGGAGAATGGAGGAGAAGGGATTGTGCTGTGGTCCACCCCTGGGGAGGTGATTTTTCACTTTCTCTCTCTCTGGTGAGTGCACATATCCTATAGCAAATTAAAAAAATAAAGTAGTAATACCCATAATTTCTAAATCGTCAAGAAAATCAGCTGTAGGAGACTGGAATTATATTAAAATACTTGATGGGCAGCTTACTTGCCTGTGACAAATCAGAAACACTAATCTCCAAATACCAGTTCTCTAAAGCTTTCAAAAAAATCTACATTATTGACAGCAGTGACAGGTCTAGAATGATCAAGAACCAAAACAGTGGGCAGGTACATGCCTGCTATGAACAGCTTAGGCCACAGGTCCCTGAAACTCGGAGTTTCTCAGTGGTCTCAAGTCTTGGCAGGGAGCCCAGCATGTGGCGCAGGGTGATATGAATGGCCCTCCAGCTGATGCAGCCTGTGGGGTAAAATCACCCTGACCTGAGGTCGTCCCTCAGTTACTCAGAATAGGCATGGCCTTTGGGACCAGCAGACAGGGTAGGCGTTATGTTGTTGGACTTCCACATGCTGGACGGTGGTTAGAATCCCAGACCTGGTGGCCTCAAAATTGCACTGGGACGTATGTGTGTGCCCAAGATCTTGGGAGGAGAATAGAGGAGAAGGGATTGCATGGCTATCCCACTGGGGGTGGGGGGGTGATTCTCACTTTCTCTCTCACTGTCTCTGCCTCTCTTTCTCTCTCCAGTGAGCCTACACACCCTAAGGAGAAACCTCTTAAAACAAAACAAAACAAAACAAAACAAAACAAAACAAGAATAGGCATGGCCTCAAATCAAATCCCAAGGTGAAAGAGCTTCAAACAGGGCTGGCCCATGGTGTAGTGGTTAAGAGAGCTGGATCCCATATAGCTGATTGCATGGTTTGAATCTTGGCCTCTGTGGCTTGAAAAACATGCTGGGTAGGTGTGTGAGTAGGAAGAATTCTGACAGGGTAGAGAAATGCAGGAGAAGGGATTACAACACCACCGCTCCCCATTGTGGGGGTACTTTCTTCCCCTCTCTCTTTGTTGCTGTTTCTCTTTGATGAGCGCATGTGCTCTCTGGCAAAAAGAAAGGAAAGAAAATAGATATATGTAAGGGATCTTCAAAAAGTTCATGGGAAATAGTTCAAGGACAATTTATTTTGGTGCAAATTTGATATCCATGCATAGTTTTTTTCTTTTCTTCTTCTTTTTTGTTCGCTATGGGGCACATGTGCTTATTGGAGACAGAGGTTAGAGAAAACGAGAAATCACTCTCTGGGGTGATAGCCATGCTGCAATCACTTCTCCATTCTCCTCTCGGGATTTCCGGCATGCGTGTACACACACCTAGTCCGATTCTTCTTTAAAGAATAATTTTATTTAGCTTTATTTATTTATTTAAATTTGACCAGAGAGGGACAGAGTGTGAGAGAAAGAGAGAGAGAGAAAGAGAGAAAGTAAGCCACCAGGTCTGGGACTTGAACTGCTGTTGGCCATGTGGGAGTCCAGTGCCCTTAACCACCATGCCATCTGCTGGCCTTTTTTTTTTTCTCGCCTAGTGTGATTTTCAAGCTGCTGTGTTTGGAACTAGAACCACACAGTCAGCCGTGTAGAATCCAACCGCCTTAACCTCCATGCCACCTGCTTGCCTGCATAGTTTTTCCATACTCAGCATTTTGCTATGAACCTTTTAAAGACCCCTTGTATAAACATATACATCACACACACATATATATTTCTGAACTGCTCGAACAATCGATTCCTAGGGTTTTATAAGCATACATAGTCAAAAATAATTTAAAAGGTATATTTGAAAAATATCTTCTGGACTGGCAGGTGGTGGTGAAGGCACTGGACTCCCACATGGCTGACTGCATAGTTTGAGTCCTGGACCTGGTGGCTTGAAAATCACATGGGGCATGTGTGCGTGCATGTCCAAAATCCAGAAAAGGGAATGGAGAAGGGATTACGGTGTAGCTATCCCCCTGGTGAGTGTTTCCTCACTCCCCTGCTTCCGATGAGCATATGTACCCTGTAGCAAAAACCTGAAAAGAAAAGATTCTATTTCTGTTTTTTGTGTTCTTGTATGGACAGAAGACCTGCACTGTTGTGTGAACAAGGCTAGCAAATGTTCAAAAAAACCTCTGTGTGACCCATGCTACCTCTGAAAGTATCACTAAAACAACAGAAAAGGAATTACATTAATAAAACCCACAAGGACAGAGAAGGAAAAGAAAGGACAGTGGAAGCTGAAGTCCACGGGCAAGTTGTCATCTGCTTTATGGGCCACACAAAGCTGCACTGGCCTGCCTGAAAGTTGGGCAGCCAGCAAGGAGCAGGCCTGTTTATTGGTGGCAGTGCTGGAAGGCCCAGGGACCTCTGAGGGCCAGGCTGGAAGCAGGCTGGGCTCCACACAGGAGGGGCTGGTGGCTGGCTCAGGACTCCTGTCTATCCTCTCTGGTCAACACAGCGGGGACGGTGGGCAGGGTGCTGCATACTCAGGGAAAGCTGGCACAGTTGTGCCTAGCGTGTGACATCCTATTGAAGCCACAGGGATAGGGGACAGTCTGCATACTGACTAGTGACGAGCCAGGATCTATTTTTTTTCTAATAATTATTTTTAATTTAGTTTTATTCATTGTCATTATTTTATTTTCAACTTTTTTGAAGTTGACCAGAGAGAGAGAGAGAGAGAGAAGGAAAGTGAGAAAGGAAGCTGCTAAGGTGCCAGGTCTGGGACTCAAAACCAGTCAGCCATGTGGGAGTTGAGCCACCTTAACCACCATGCCACCTGTTGGCCCTAGGATCTTTTCATTGTCCTGCCCCAGTCCAAAAGGCCTGCTCCAACACACAGTGGGCAAGACTCCTTCAGCAGAGGACTGCTATTAATGCAAAAGATGGTGAAGGAGAGCCTGCCACACGAAAGGCAGAGCACAAGACAAATGCACAGATCCCCAGAGCACAGGATAAACACAAAAGTCCCCAGGAAATGGCATAGAACAAAGAGGATTCCAAGAAGACTATAATTCATATCTCAGTAATCAATAAATCAATAATCAATAAACTTAAAAAAATGGGCCAGCCAGTGGCCATACCCCTATGGGGGATGCTGTCTCGTTTTTCTTCCCTCTGGTGGGCACACATGCTCTCTAGTAAATTAAAACAAAACCAAACAGTTGTGGCTGTTTCTCTAATACTGGGGACATACCCAAGGCCAGGATGAAAGGGCTCAAGAACACACTGCTTACAGTTTAGGAACGAGGGCGAATCTCATCCTGCTCAGCAGCTCGTCTTCCTGGAGCATGACCAGGGCAACAGGGTACATCTGATCAAAGTCGAAATTAAACTGCACACCAGCTGGAGGGTCCCGAAGGAAATTCCTCTTGTCCTTTGATGCACAAGGGAAAAAAAAAAAAAACATATGGGAATGGGGGATACTGCTAAATACAATTATTATATAACAATGTACCTGGGATTATACAAATATTAAATTCTCCCTAAAGCCTTAAGCTACAAAGTCCACTGAGTAATTGTTAACCTGACTGCTTAAGAGAGATGGGAGAACACCTGATCCTTCCGTGCATTTTCTAACACTCACAAGCGGAGAGAGCCCCCTGGGAGGCTAGGAAACTTAAGAGTTTTGTTGAAATCCATATTCTGAAAACACAGGAACACGTGTTTGCTGCAGTGGGCTCCTTTAGGATGTGGAAATGAGTGTAAATCTTCTTAGAAACTTTTTTTTTTCTTTTTTTAGGTTTTTCCCATAGGGCATGCATGCTTGCTGGAGAGACACAGAGAGAGGAAAAGTGATAAATCAGTCCCAGGGCGTGGTGGTGGTATGGCCATGCTGCAATCCTTTCTCCATTCTCTGGGGATTCTGAGCATGCATGTACGCACACACATACGTGTGCACACACATGCATCCAGTGTGATTTTTCAAGTCATCGGGTCTGGGACTAGAGCTGTGGTGAGCCATGTGGGAGTCCAGCGCTTTAACCACCACACCGCCTGCTGGCCCCATCTTAGAAATATTTTAACCTTAAGTTCAAAGCCCTAATGTGTGTTATATTTACAAACCAGGAAGTTTTTTAAAAGGAAGAAAAAAGGGACCAGCAGATGTCATGTGAGAAAAGTAAAGTAAATAAACAAAAAAAAAGAAAGAAAAAAAAATTTCTTTTTTGGAGAGTTTTTTGCTATAGGACGCGTGCACTTGCCAGAAAGACAGAGAGAGACAGAGAGATAGAAAGCGAGAAATCACCCCCCAGGGGGGATGGCCACACTGCAATCCCTTCGAGTCTGGGCCTCGAACCGCAGTTGACTACGTGGGAGTCCAGTGACACAGACATTACGCTAACTGCTGGTCCCAAAAAAGAAAATTTAAAATCAAAGCTTTCTTGGATTCCCTGTCCCTGGTTCCAAATTGACATGGAAAGAGAATGGTTTTGAAGCCCTCTGAGATGGAGCATGACTCATGACTTATTAGTATATAAAGGGACGTCTGCAAACCTCTCTCTGTTCTACACATTGAGCAGAACAATCAAGGCCAAAAGTAGTGGTTTGGGATCACTCAATTAGGATGGTGTGTTTCTATTCACTTTTTTCTTCACTTTTTTTTGAGAGGTTTTTGCTATAGGGCGCATGTGCTCACCAGAAAGACAGAGAGACAGACAGAGAGATGAGGATGGCCACACCACAATCCCTTCTCCTCCATTCTCCTCTCGGGATCTTGGGCACGTATGCACACATGCCCGGTATGAGTTTAAGCCACCAAGTCTGGGACTCGAACCGTGGTCAACTTTGTGAGAGTCCAGCAACATAGCCATTACACCAACTGCTGGTTCCCCTTTTTGTTTTTTTTTTAAAGAGAGATTTGTGGTATAGGGTGTATGTGCTTGCTGGAGAGACAGAGAGACAGAAAGTGAAAAATCATCCCTGGCGGGGAGGAGGGGATGGCCATGCCGTAATCCTTTCTTCTCTTACATTCTCCTTTTGGGATTTTGGGCACACATGCACACATGCCCAGCGTGAGTTTTAAGCCACTGGACCAGATCCGGGACTTGAACTGTAGCCAACTACATGGGAGGCCAGCGACGTAACCATTAAGTCATACGCTGGTCCCTTTTTTCTTCCTTTTAAAAAACTTCCTGGTTTGTAAATAGCACACACATTAGTTTTTCAAAAATTCAAAACACCTAGGGAAAGCAGGTGGTGTGGTGGTTAAGGGCGCTGGACTCCCACATGACCAACCATGGTTCGAGTCTCAGACCTGGTGGCTTGCTTTCTCATTTTCTCTTTCTCTTACCCCCATCTGATCAAATTAAAATAAATATAGTTAAATAAAATAATTGAAAAATTTCAAAACAGCATAGGAAAGCATGGAATCAGAAATTCCACCACCTACAGAGAGCCCTCAGTTCTGCATTCTGTGAATAGCCTCCTGAAGCTCGCCCTGCACTGACTCAGTGTCTGCGTACACCACCTGGCAGAAACAGGAAGACACCACATCCTGAGATCACCAGCTTTGCCCTTCACTCAAGGATGTGAACATCTTTCCAGCTCCAATGTCTCCATCAAATGTATCGTAGCTTACCATTCTTACTTAACCAGGCCCACTTTGGTAGTCAGTTTCTTTTCATCTTTTTTAAAAAATTATTTTACCCAATTTTATTTATCTATTTATTTATTTATGTTTTAGTTGGACAGACTGAGGGAGAGAGAGGGAAAGTGAGAAAGCAAGCTGCCAGGTCCAGGACTTGAACAGCAATCAGCCATGTGGGAGTCCAGCGTCCTTAAACCACCATGCCACCTGCCAGCCCCAAGTTAGACAGTTTCTAATTGTTCCTCGTAAAGAACTCTGCAAGTGGGGCTGGCAGGTGGCATGGTGGTTAAGAGTGCTAGACTCCCACATGGCCGACCGGGGTTTGAGTCCCGGGTGCCTTGCTTTTTCACTTTCTCTCTCTCACTCTGGTCAAATTAAAATAACTAAATAAATGAATAAACTTTAAAAGGAGTAAGTACAGGAGCCAGCAGGTGGTGTGGTGGTTAAGGCGCTAGACTCTCACATGGCTGACTATGGTCTGGGTTCTGGACCTGGCAGCTTGTTTTCTCACTTTCTCTTTCTTTCTCTCTCTCTCTCTCTCATGTGCCCTATAGCAAAAATTAAAAATAAATAATTAAATGAAAGAAATAATTCTTAAAAAGTATAACACTTAAAAAAAAAAAAAGTATAACACTTGAAAATCTTTTCCCCTCCCCTATCCAATGGGGATGAAAGTCCCTTGCTCCTTTCCGGACCTGCTGTGAGCCTCAGGGGAAATAATGTGTGAGAAGATGCTTGTCAGACTGTCAGATGCTACACAACTGTTAACTGGTATCACTACATTTCCTCTGAAGTTCTTAGATACATTTTTGTGGATCAGCATATGAAATTTTATCTCCATCAATTTCAGTTTCCAACAAATACATATAGCTAAAGAGAAAATGTGGAATACAATAACTTCACTTACAAGAATTAAAATTCTGCTTAAAAACTTCATACAGGCTGGTTCCGTGGCCTGATGGTTAAGGTAGTCAGATCCTAGGTGGCTCACTGCAAGGTTCGAGTCCCAGACCCAGCAGCTTGAAAAACATGCTGGGCTTGCATGTGTGCTTGCTCAAAAGAAATGGAGAAGGGATTATGGTGTGACCAGTCCCCATGGGGGGGGCGGGGGGTGTTTTCTCCTTTCCCTGTCTCTCCGACTTTGTTTCTTTGGAGTACACACACATCCTCTAGCAAAAGAAAGACAAAGACAAAACAAAACAAACCCCAAAACTAAAATACTTCATATAATAGCTTAGTTCAAAGGATTACCTTAATAGTACAAAAAGATCTTCTAAAAAAAAAAAATTTTTGCCAGAGGGCACAGGCACTGTCTGGAAAAAGACACATAGAGGTTAAGTGAGAAAGCACCTCCAGTGGGGAATGGTAACGCCACAATCCCTTTTCCTCCATTTGTCCCTCCTTTCGAACTTTGGGCACATACACGCATGCGCTTGGCATATTTCTCAAGCTGTTGGGTCTGGGACTCAACCACGTAGCTGGCCTTGTGGGATTCAGCTGCCCTAACTGCAAGGCCATGGGCTGGCCACCTGCCAAAAAAAAAATCTTTTCAAGGCTGAAAGAATGATTTCACATAACAGACTATACTTTCACATTATAAAAAAGAACTCACAAGTAAGCAAATTAGAAGTTAATTTTTAAAAAACATGACGTTGGTGTATTCATTCCCATTATCTTGAAATATTTAAAAACCTATATGAGGACCAGCAGTTGGCGTAACGGCTATGTCGCTGGACTCCCATGTAGTCGACCGCGGTTCGAGTCCCGGACCTGGTGGCTTAAAACTCACGCTGGGTACGTGTGCGTGCATACCCAAGATCCTGAGAGGAGAATGGAGGAGAAGGGATTGCGGCATGGCCATCCCCCTGGGGGGTGATTTCTCACTTTCTGTCTCTGTCTCTGTCTTTCTGGTAAGTGCATGTGCCCTATAGCAAAAACCTCTCAAAAAAAAAAAAAATATATGGAAGGGGCTAGCAGGTGGCATGGTAGTTAAGGTGCTGGATTCCTTCCCACATGATCGACCACGGTACGAGTCTCAGAACAGCAACTTAAAAACCATACCAGGCAGGGACCAGCAGGTGGCATAATGGTTACATCGTTGGATTCCCATGTAGTCAACTGCGTTTTGAGTCTTGGACCTGGTGGCTTAAAGCTCATGGTGGGCATATGTGCCTGTGTACCAAAATCTCGAGAGGAAAACGGAGGAGAAAGTGATTGCAGTGTGGCCATCCCCCCCGGGGGGGGGGTGAATTCTCACTTTCTGTCTCTCCAGTGAGTGCATGTGCCCTATAGCAAAACTCTCTCTTAAGAAAAATATCACACCAGGCACATGTGCATGCGTGCCCAAAATCCTGAGAGGAGAATGGAGGAGAAGGGGTTACGGCATGGTCATCCCCCTGAGGGGTCATTTCTCACTTTCCCTCTCTATGTCTCTCTTTAGCGAGTGCACGTACTCTATGGCAAAACTGCCCTCCTCCCTCCCCCCCCAAAAAAAATAAAAACTACAGAAGAAAAAAATTTTGCTAAGGATAAAGTCATTTCAATAGAGATGTGCCACAGTAAGAAATAAGTGTGTTCTATCCAGGGTATCACAAGGTACTTACAGCTGATAAGGCCAAGATTTGTTGCTGGATAGTTTCTTCATCATTACTGTCAACCCATGGGGGCACAGCTACTTCTAACCACAAAGAGGAAAAAAGCGACAATACAATGGTTATACTTCAATCCATGGCTTCAAAGAACAAGAACATTTCATTTTCTTTCTTTCTTTCTTTCTTTCTTTCTTTCTTTCTTTCTTTCTCTCTTCCTCTCTTTCTTTCTTTTTTTTTTTTTTTTTTTTTTTTTTGGTATGTGTGCTCGCCAGAGAGAGAAAGAGAGAAAGAAAGTGAGAAATCACCCCCCCATGGAGGATCCCCATGGGATCTTGGGCACACATGCACACACACCCGACATGAGTTTTAAGCCACCGGGGCCGGAACTTGAACTGCGGTCAACTACATGGGAGTCCAGCGACATGGCCATTACGCTAACTGCTGGTCCCCTGCTGTGTTCTTCAAACCGCTGGATCTGGGACTCAAACTATATAGTAGGCCATGTGAGGTCCTGCCGCCTAATCACCATGCCACCTGGCTGATCCAGAATGAAAACATTTTTTATTTTTTTAGGAAGAGGTTTTTGCTATAGGATGCGTGCGCTTGCCAGAAAGACACAAAGTGAGAAATCGCCCCCCAGGGGGGATGGCCACTCCATAATCTCTTCTCCTCCATTCTCCTCTCGGGATCTTGGGCATGCACACACATGCGCCCAGTGTGAGTTTAAGCCACCGGGTCCAGGACTCCAACTGCGGTTGACTACATGGAAGTCCAGCAACAAAACCATTATGCCAACTGCTGGTCCCAGAACAAAAACACTTCCACATGACTTTTTTTTTTTTTTTTTTTTGCCCAGGCGCATGTGCTTGCTAAAGGCAAACAGAGTCAGAGAGAGAGAGGGAGAGAACACTCTCCTCATGGAGAACAGTCATGCTGCAATCCCTTTTCCTCCATCTCTCGCTCCTTTGGGGATTTGGGGCACACATGAACACATGCCTGGAGTGTTCCTCAAGCCGCCAGGTCTGAGACTTGAACTGTGCAATTGGCCACATGGGATCTGTATACCTTATCCATTAGCTATGGAGCTGGCCCATGATGACTGTTTTTTTCTAACATCACTTATTTTTTCCATGAGAGAGGAAGACAGGGAGAGTTTGAGAGAAAGTCAGTGAGACAGGCACTCTCAGTATTTCACACTGTGATCCTGTCCCAGCCTCTGCTGGCCAGGTAACGGGCATGTACCCCCAATACCCAGCCCCAGCATGGCCAGGGAGACCTCGGTACATGAACGAAGGACCTCCCCATGGCCTCGGCATTGCAGAGTGTGCGACTACGCACTGCACTGCTCCACAGCAGCTGGCCTACTCCGTCATTTGCAATGGCAATTTGGGGGCCAGCTGCATTCACAAGAAGCAGGAGTCACTGGAAAAGCAAAAATGGCAAGTTTGTGACTATTCCTCACTGCTATCACCTTAACACTAGATTCTGGCCCTACCGGTTTCTCACACCGGTAGAAAAGCAAAATCTTGCCAAATGCATGGTGCCTCATGACATCAGAGAAAAATGACACTGGAAAATTGCCTAAGTCACCACAAAGCCACTGGCACGGAAGATCTGGCAGGGTGGCTACAGCTGAAAGAAACAGAAGCCTGGTGACCTGGCAAGTGCTCTGAACAAAGGCAATCTGAAAATCAAAGGGGCAATTAAGATAGGCCCTTGGGAAAATGAATGCAGCCTTAGAACATTCTTGCAGAAATCATCTTTCTCTCTTTTTTTTTTTTTTTAAGGTTTTTACTATTGGGTGTGCTGGCCAGAGAGAGAGACAGAGACAGACAGAGAGAAGGAAAGTGAGAAATTGTCCGATCCCCCCAGGGATGGTCACATCACAGTCTCTTCTGCTCTTGGAATTTGGGGCACACACGCACACACCTGGCATAATTTTCAAGTCATCAGGTCTAGGACTCAAATTGTGGTTGACCATGTGGGAGTCGAGCGCCTTAGCCACCATACCACCTGCTGGTTCCATTGCAGAAATAATCTCTTTTACTATTATGATTCAACAGTCAAATGGAAGACATACCCTTTCACGTACCAATTATGAGAAAAATTATCTGCAAGTATGGATGGACACATGATACATGGACAGAAGATCACAGTACTTTTTAAAAAACATTATTTTTTAGTTTGCCATAGGGCATGCGTACTCATCAGAGAAAGATGGGTGTAGGGAGAGTAGAGATTCAAAGAGAGTGAGAAAGCAAGCCGCCAGGGCTGGGACTTGAAATGTGGTCAGTCAGTACCTTAACTACCATGCCACCTGCTGGTTCCAGAGTTCTTTTTTTTTTTTTTTTTCTTTTCGTTTGCTGCAGGATGCATATGCTTGCCAGAGAAAGACACAGTTCATTTTTTGGTTCACCCTAAGCAAGTACGTGGCGGCAATTATGATACAAATTCTGGTCGTTTTAAGATAATATAAATGTGGGGCCAGATGGTGAGGGAGTGGTAAAACGTGATGCTCTGTGAGGCAATTCCATGTGGGAAGGTTCCTGGTTCAGGTCTGGATGGCCAACGCTGTGGCCTAGGAGTTAAGGGACCTGGATTCCACTTGGTCGACCATGTAGTTTGAGTCCTGGTCCCAGTGACATGGGTGTGCGCATGCCCCAAATCTCGACAGGATGGACAAATGGAGGATATGGGATTGTGGTGTGACTACCTCCACTGTGGGGGTGGGTGTGCTTCCTCCTTCTCCCTCTTTGTCTCTCTCTGGAAAAAAAGAAAAAAATGTCCAGAGAACTCCCTGAGTATGCTGGACATACAAGTGCCCATGATCTGAGGCTAGAAGTGGATGGGATCCCATTGGGGGTGCTGTCTATCTGTCTCTCTTGCTCATGGAAAAAATAAACTTGAACAAAAGAAAATATAAGCATATTTTCATATTTTAAAGCTCCCCCAATACTTTTAAAGAACTTTTTTTTGAGAGTACTTTTTTTTTTTTTTTTTTTTATAGGGGTGGTGGTGCTGACCAGAAAGACAGAGAGACAGAAAGCAAGAAATTACTCCCTAAGAGGGGATGGCCACACCGCAATCCCTTCTCCTCCATTCTCCTCTCAGGATCTTGGGCACGTATGTACATGTGCCTGGCGTGAGTTTAAGCTGCTGGGTCCGGGACTCCAACTGCAGTCGACTACATGGGAGTCCAGCAACAAAACCAACTTTTATTAAACTTTTTTTCTCTATTCATGATAGAGCTCATATATGTGAGAGATAGATGAGAACCCTCCACAGGGTCAGGTCACATCATGATCTCCTTCCTCTAGCTCATCGGATATTCAGTATATTCAGCTACTGGTATGGATAAAACATCCTCAACCCAGTTCCTCTGAAATTGCTCATTTCAGGGAGACCGATAACATCTTGGTTGCCCAATCCCAAGGATACTTCTTAGTTCTTTCTCTCTAGGCCAGTTTCCTTATCAGGAAAACGGAGATAACAGGAAGGACTTCATAGTGTTAACAGTAACCACAAAATGCACAGGAAACATCTCCATGGTGCCTTTCTCACGGTCACAGAACTGGACCCCTCGGCTGTGTCTCTCATGTGCACTGTGTTCTCCTGCCCTCCCCAGGGTTCCCTGCTTCTCTCCTAGGTGGACTTAATGGGCTCTGGTTTTGAAGGCACCTGTCAGGTTTCATCACTTAACAGCCGAGCGAACCATAGCAATATATTTAAACTTGCTGCCTGCATCCACTTCCTTTTATTGAGATGTTGTATATAAAATGCCTGCTACTTAGCAGGTACTCAGTGACTGTCAATTCCTTCCTTCCTCCCCTCCTTAAACATTGTGGGTCTTCTGCTCATCTTACTTCATGCTAGAAACATTTTTCAGAGAGGAGCTCACCACCAACTCTCCTGGTTCTTTTTTTTTTTTTTTAAATAATCATTTACAGGACCAGCAGGTGGTGTGGTAATTAAGGGTGCTGGACTCGCATATGGCCTACCACGGTTTGAATCCCAGACCTGGCAGCTTCCTTTCTCACTTGCTCTCTCTCTTTCACTGTCCCTCTCTGGTCAAATAAAAATAAATAAATAAAGTTAAAAGAAAATAATTCCTTTTTTTTTTCTTTTTTGAGAGGTTTTCACCATAGGGTGCATGCGCTCGCCAGAAAGACAAAGAGAGACAGAGAGACAGAAAGCGAGAAATCACCCCCCAAGGGGGATGGCCGCACTGCAATCCCTTCTCCTCTGTTCTCCTCTCAGGATCTTGGGCACAAACACACATGTGCCCGGCATGAGTTTAAGCCACCGGGTCCAGGACTCGAACTGTGATCAACTATGTGGGAGCCCAGTGATGTAACCATTCTGCCATCTCCTGGTCCCATTCCTTTAAAACTTCTTTGCTGCTTGGAGTTGTAATCATTGCCCTGGACTGTTGGCTCTCAAATATGGTTCTTGATTAAGAATACCACTGACATATGAGATCTTTTCAGAAATATGGGCTCTCCACCAGACCTAATAACAGAACCAGAATTCTTAGGTGTGGTATCCAGCAATCTGTCTTTTAATAAGTCCTGAAGATAACTCTGAAAATATTAAAATAAGAATAAATAAAGTTAATCATCATAGTAATACAAATAAATATTTCTTTTTTAAATGTCTTTTTTAATAATTATTTAATTTTCATTTTATTTATTCATTTATTTTATTTTGACCACAGAGAGAGAGAGAGAGAGAGAGACAATGTGAGAAAGTAAACCACCAGGTGCAG